GGCATGGAAGCCCGCGGCGAGGCCGCACTCACCCCCTCCACGTCCAGCCGTTGCACAGGAGACACTGGGACGGAAGCCGGCGAGACCAAGATGGCGCCGGCTGCTCTCGTGCCTGAGCCCTTCGTCTGTCGAGCGGATCTCCGAAGAGCTGCGGCCCGCCGACGGGACTTAGCGGACATAGAGCTGACCCTGGGTAAGTCCTGCACAGGATGGGTGACAGTCCGGGCACTGAAATCTCGTCAGGCAGGAGAAATAGCAGGATACTTGCGGCTGAGACAGCGGAGCTCCACCAGGCACGTGTGATAAGATTCACATCGTAGCCACGCCCCTTGAACAGTAGATCTTAACACAAAAAATTGTGGGCACCCCTGGTCTACACTATGACCTCATTACATACATGTTGCAATCTAAAATATTTTATTACATCTTTTATTAAAAGCTGATGTGTCCTAAAACTTTACCTCAAGGTGAAATAATTCTGGTTTTCATTCAGACTTTGCTTCCTACTTTCTATACACCTTCCCTAAATATTTAGAGCCATTGGAGTAATGCTAAGCTGGGGAACCCTGGAACAGGCGAGTTCTCTGGGGCCCCCTATTGGTTACAAAGTGTTCCTACAACTATCCTTGCCACACGTGATACAAATGTTCTCACATTGCCGAGCTGATTAAACTGTGACGAGCGTGATCTCTAGAGATAACTTTGTGTCCCGTTTGGGGTTTGATGTGAATTCTCTCCAATCCATTTTTGACTGGTTCTATACAAAGCCCCAACCTACAGCTTTCTTCTAAGGTGTTGAGGAGCTAACACGCTGGGAAGCTGGAACGGCTTCTCCTTCCTTTCTGGGGAATTGAAAGGACAGACCTTGAGGTGTTCAGACACGGAAGAGATGTCGTCGAAGGTCCAGTGGTGGACCGGAGAGAAGAGGCTGCTGAAATTCCAGACCTGGAGGAAGATCGGAGAACAAGGGTGAGGAACCGAACTGGAAGTCCATTATGACCCCCAAATTATTACACACCAGAAGTCCTATAATTATTATTATATTATACAGGATTTATATGGCGCCAACAGTTTGCGCAGCGCTTTACAATATAAGGAAGACATTACAATCACAAGACAAGATGGTAAGGAGGGCCCGGCCCCCGAGGGCTTACAATCTAAAAGAGGAGGGGCCAGTGATACATGAGGAGGGAGCTGTGTGGGGAGGACTTGTTTGAGAACGTGATGGTTGAGTGGTTAGGTTGAGGTGGGATCGGCTTCCCTGAAGAGATGAGTCTTTAGGGATCGCCTTAAGGCAGTCAAGGTGTAGAGATATACACTGAGTGGCCGGATTATTATATACACTGAGTGGCCGGATTATTATATACACCGAGTGGCCGGATTTGGATCCACCCAGCTGTGTGACTGACAGCTGGCTCTGCCTATCTAGAGGCAGAGCCAGCTGTACCCGCCCCCTCCCCCGTCTGTTCCGCCAGTCAGCGCTGGCGGATCGGAGCGGGGAGGGGGAAACTGTTCCTGCTACACTCTTACACGACAGCGGAAATTCGTCAATTTGCCATTTCGCTATACCATATGGTATCTCAGAGGTCAAGTGTTGAACACCCCGGGGCCGTTGGCTTTAGTCTTGTTTCCACTTATCTTATCTGGCAAAATGTCTATTGAATACCAGTATGTATCGAAACACCTATCATAGACGCAACCTGTTGTTGACCTGTTTGGATTCTATTTTGCTTTTTTGTTTTTTGTTTCCTTTATTATGGCCTAAGATTGAGGCCTACCCATGTCAGCTCTTGTTGCCGCCCAGGGCTTGAGATCTCTACTATTAGATATGCAGACAAAGGTATTGTATCAAAAAATTCTAATAAAATTTGATTTAAAAAATAAATAAATCTTTGTCAGGCTTTTTTTTTTTTTAAATTGTGTCTCCCTTGGGGAGATTTAACTTCCTGTGCCATTTACGGGTGCCTGGGGACAGGAAGTGAGTTAAAAATCTCCCGGTGGAGAAACAACAATAACAAATTTTAGCCCCTCTCTATACTTGGGCTTTTTAACCTTTTGTCTTTAATCTGATTTAATAGTCACCCTCACCTTTTTCCGACACCTCCACGAACTTCCGCCATGAGAGTAAGTCTTCTTTTCCCAGAGGAGATGGACCATCCCCCTCTCGTGCAACAACGAGGTGCACACATCTCTCATAAGAGAAGAGACTTGGGACAGCTGGCAGAGACTAAAGCTGTCCAAGAACCCAGCGACGTGTTGCAGGACCTCAAGTGGAAGGTTGGAGAGGGAGTCTTTGCTCTTTCCTCGATGGCTCCTTGAAAGGTTGGGTCTTACTCCATCGTACAGACTGCAGTCCACCAGTGGCTTCACTGCAAATGTCTTGAGCTGCTTATTGTAGATGACTCGTGACTTCACCCCTGCAGGACGAAACCGATTTTGCAAGTACGTACAGCCCAAGTAGGCAAGCGGGCAGCGTTGCTGGAACCAGCCACCGAGGCTGGACTGTATGTCGCAGTGGGCGTTCTTAAAATGCGAGGAAAACTCGTCTCTACGGAAGAACAGTTGGCACGAGAAGGTGAACGATGAGTTGCTCTTGTTATGTCTCCCGCTTACACTTTCACTCAGAATATCCAGTTTGAGACCCAAGCGTCTCATTTCCTTTTCCGTGATAAGATCCAATAAAACAGTTTTTTTAGTGAAGGGATCCTGGCCAAAATTATAAGTCTGAGTTCCGAAATCGATGAGCAGGCCATCCAGGGCCTTCATCTGTGACACACCGTGACCTTTAAGCTCCCTCTCTAGAGCACACATCAAGATTGTATAAATACTTTTAGATTGCGATAAGTCTTCTTCCGGGAGGCCGAGGTCAGATGTGTCCACCAATTTCACATCTTTCTCCTTCTTGTGATTGTCGTCCCCAAGTTTGGCTCTACGGCCACAGTAGCTTGTTGGTACTTTGAACGTGCATACGGTCTCCACTGTCTGGGCTTCAAGGTTTCCATACACAAAGTCCTTCTCTCTAGGAGTGCACGCCGCCATCTGTCCAAACCGGATAAGCATGCTGCCGTGATGCACAATGTACATGTTGTAGCTCCCACAATCTACTTCCGACTTCAGTCTTTCCAGGACCCCCTCCTGCCACGGAGCCAAGCCAGTCTTCTCTCGTAATTCCATGTGCGTTCTCTTGAGTTCTTCGTCTTTTTTGGCCTCATCAGATTCTGGCTGTTTCTCTCCTTCTTTGGGTTTGCCACCTGGCGTGTTACTAGTTCCATCGGATGCACTAGTGCTTTGACCTGCAGCTTTCTCTAGATATTCAGATGCTCTCAACTCTTTGCTAAACATAGCCTCCCACTTAGAGAACTGACCAAAATCATGGTCGAGTTGACCTCGAGCCAAAGCTTCTCGCTCAAACTGAGTCAGCCCGCCCTCTTCCGTACTGCTAGTATATGTTACATTTGACGGATCAGTTCCTCCAACAGCGCCTGCCTCCAGGCCTTCATCGGGCCTATCCAAGCTTATGGTATTTTGAGGTTCCTCAGAGAGCTCTGGGAAAAGTTCGGCCAGTTTAAGCGATCTAAAGAGGACTTTTTGATCCTGTAGAGATAAGGCCAAGTCCAGGCATTCCTCGCTTTCCTCCTCCTTCAGAAGATTCTCATAAAGAGTTTGATCCTTATCCAGAATGGGCCAGCGGTTCCACTCCATGGAACAGCAGACCACGCTAGCTGGGCAGACCTTCAGGTGCCTGGCCTGCTTACATCTATTCATGTAAAACGGGCAGCCGAAAACCGAATTGAGGCATGGCACCCAGTCGTTGGGGCATAGCAGTTGGTGCTCCTCCTCCTTGCACATGTGGAAAGTGGCGCCGCAGTGCGAGCGGCAGCTTATCATCACGCAGGAGACGCCAGAGTTGATGGGGGCTTGGCATCGTTTGTTGAAGCAGTTCTGGCAGTGTCTGTGCTCACCGGGACGTGGCTTTGTCGCCTTTCCCTTTATGTATCAAAAGAAAACGCATAATAACATTAGATCTGAAAGGAAAAACGAACCGTTCACACAGCAATCTGAGGTACAACTATTCCTTAACCACTTTCGGGCCGCAATACGTCTATAGACGGCAGCCCGTTAAAGTGTGGAGATATGAATAACATCAGAATTTAAAAAAATTGTTGGATCTTAGTTCCTTGGTCCGGCACTTTCATTAAACTCTCTAGATTCGGTTAATTTGCCATCAGTGTCCCCGCTGGGAGGATTCAACCCTCTGTCTGTCCTGATGGCCAATGTCACCGGGACAAAAAGTGAGAGGAAAAACAAAAATGTCAAGTTGTTACTGAAACAGGAATAGACGTAATGCTTCCATTTGGGATGCTTGTTGCTATGACAACCATCTAAAAGGGGATTTTACTCACATTGGAGAGATTTCCCTTTCACTTCCTTATGAGTCTACAGGAGGGGAAGTAAAGGGAAATCTCTCCATTGAGCAGATGGCAACAAAAACATGACAGGGATTTAAACCCTCCCTACACTATCCAAAACGAAAATGGAATCGGGGGTTCAGATTTGAGCAATTTAAGGGTAGGAAGTCTCCTGAGGGTTAGTCAACAATTAAAAGCCTAGGTTGGGGGGTCCCGTGCCAGGAATCAAAACATGAACAATTTTAAAGATACCTAAGCTACATATTAGGGATGCCCCGATACCGATACTAGTATCAGTATCGGGGCCGATACCAGGAATTTTCATGAGTACTTGTACTCGTGAAAATGCCCCGATTCTTAAGGCCGATACCGGCCCTTTAAATTTTCAAAAGCGGCCGTCATAGTTCCTGCGCTTGTGGGGAGCTCGGCAGCCTGCTGGGGACCTGTAGATAGCTGTCCATGGCAGTGCCTGTCCGGTTCATTATCTCCTCCTACTGCTTCCTGGTGCAGGCACAGCCATGGACAGCCCCGGGGGCGGAACTACCGCTACAGGGCTATAAGCTGGGGGTTCCTGCCGCACGCTGACGGGGAGGACTGGGCCTGGAGATGGACGAAAGCAGAGCCCAGCAGCGCAGAGAGTCGGCCGGACTGGACGTGGGGGAGGCCGTGTCCCGACATCGCCGGTGCGGTGGAGTGCCCGCAGAGCCACTGCAGATGTCCACGTCGCCCGGTGAGATCGACACGCAGCCTGGTGAGAAGAATTCTGCTTTGGGGACACATATTCGCAGAACACACGTTCCCAAAACAGAATACATGTCCCCAAAGGAGAATACTATTCTGCCTTAGGGACATGTGTTCAGTTCTGGTGACAACCGTATTCAGCACTATTGAGAAACTGCCCTAAAATCATCAGTCTGTGTTGTTTTTAGAAAAAAATGTCACATGTCCCTTTAAGAAAAAGTATCGGTAAGTGGTATCGGCGAGTACATGAGGGACAGTACTTGTACTTGGTCTTAAAAAAGTGGTATCGGGACATCCCTACTACATATCTTTAAAATTGTTACTGTGTTGATTGTTGGAGGTCGGGCCCCACATTATTTTGGGGTTGTATTACAGCGGATATTCAGCATTACTCACCATTATGAAGGATAAATCAGTCTCTGCCCAGGTGGTTGAGGGGTGTGAGAATTATCCTCCCGTCATTGGGACTGGGATTAGATAAAGATAAATGGATTAGGAGGATATAACATCAAGCAATAGGTGTAATTCATGTATGCAGAGCCAGCTGTCGGTCACGCAGCTGGGCGGATCCAGACACAATTGTCGGGATCCGCTTCAGCTGCGGCGTCTCAGTATACCGCCAGCTACAGCTCCCTATATACTGAGCTTAGGGTGATGGGAGGACGCTAGTTTGTGTCCTCCCGTTACTCTAAGGAGAACTATGGGGGAAAAGCCCTGACCCCATAGTTCTCCTTTAAAGGGGCAGATTTATGAATCTTCCACCAAGCTAGGCAAATGCTGTTCACATGGCATTGATACCACTAGATGGAGCCAAGGAGCATAGGAATTATGCTCTCTGGCTCCATCTAGTGGTGGTAAGTCCCTGCGAACATCATTAGCCCAGCCATACACCCCAGTGACAGTGCCTTGTAGGCAACATATGACTCTTAAAAGACTATTGAATCAGCCCACCCAAAGCTATATCAGGGTTGGCCTGGACTTGATAAAGGAGATCCTTCCAGTAACAGGCTGATAACACTGAGGGTTAGTTCACTCCATATGCAGTGCGTTCCGGTCCGATTCTGGCCGGAACGCACTGCATCGCATTGCGGCGGGCTCACTTTTTTGCCCGGCAGGAGGGGGCGTGGCAGGCAATTGAAGTAAAGGGCACCATAGCCACGCCCTCTGGTCGCAATGCGATCGCCCGCACCGTATCGCAAGGCACAATGTGCTTGCAGCATTTTGATCGCACCGGACTGCAGGCACAATGTGCCTTGCGATCGCATTGCAGCCAGAGGGCGTGGCTACGGTGCCATTCACTTCAATGGCCCGCCAGTGAGCCGGCCGCAATGCGATGCAGTGCGTTCCGCCCAGGATCGGAACCAGAACGCGCTGCATATGGTGTGAACTAACCCTAAGACTTCTATTAGTAGCAGTGTCGTTAGCCTACTGTGTGTATTCCTTCAGCTGGCCATTGGGATGCCTATAGGCCAACAGAAGGAGCGCACTGCCAATTACAAGACAGTCATTTATAACAATTATAAACAATTCCCAGAGCCATGCGCTCTGTATAATTGCATGTATATTGGTTCTGCGCGCATGCAGACAAAATAATGATGTTATTAGCATATTTTATTTGCAGGTCGAATGTAATATCAGTAGTTAATTGTAGTTTAGTATGTAATAAGTATTATTTCCTATGTTCCTCAGTGACATCTAGTGGCAATAATGAGATATTGACCTGATATTACATTCAACTTACATTCAACCTGGAAAAAAAAAACAACATGCTAATAACATTCCTTTTTGCCTCCAGTCATAGAGAACACATGAATGCAATTTTACAGGGCAAATGGCTCTGCAAATTAATTACAAATACTCCCCTTAGTGTTGTCACCCTGCAACATGAAGTGCTGTTACTGGCTGGATCTCCAGGTCAGAAGCCGTGCAACAGATTCACGAAAATAGTATTTGCTTGAGAAAAGGGAATACAGTGAGGAACGATGCCAAACATAACGAAATATAAGTTTACCCACACGCTAACATTGCAAAACATTTGTGTATCAATTTCGTTCAATGAAAACTTGTGTTATGTGCATTGGAAGAAGCAGGCTTTCTTAAAGGAGAACTATGAGGGGAGTGACAATCACTCAGCCTCATAGTACGAGCCGACGTGTCACAATGAGACTGTCACAGGTCGGCTTAATAGATCGGGAAGTGAGCGAACACATACCGGCGCTCGCTCACTACTCGATCTATCCCTGCAGAGAGCCGTGGCTGTCAATCACGGCTCCCTGCAGGGATCCCCCTCCCCGCTCCGATCCTCCAGCGCTGACTGGCGGAACGGACGGGGGAGGGGGCGGTTACAGCTGGCTCTGCCTCCAGATAGGCAGAGCCAGCTGTCAATCACGCAGCTGGGTGAATCTCAACAGTAATGTCGGGATCAGTCCCGGCTGCAGCGCCTCAGTATACCGCGAGCTGTAGCTCCCTATATACTGAGCTTAGGGTGACGGGAGGACGCTGGTTTATGTCCTCCCGTGACCCTGAGGAGAATTAAGGGGAAAAACACTGACCCCGGAGTTCTCCTTTAATCTGATTTGCAGCACACACAGAAAAACCTTTCATTGGTTTAATGATGATACTTTGTAATGTGAGTTATGTCGGCTCTCTCCTGTCTTCTGTGACATCTCTGGACTTTACAACGCAACTAAACGTCCTTTAGGGATCGGCACAGCGGGCGGCTGATCTGCACACCTCTGTTACTCATTAGCATCCTCATATTTGATTTTTGGGCTGAACTGTTGCTTTATCTGACCTGGGCTGGACGCAGAACAGATAATGTCACCTTTTTGACCTTGAGGCCTCGTTCACACTATGAGCCTTTTCCGAGGATTGCTCTGGCTGAGTGTTTGGACTTGGAAATGCTCGTTCACATGGTGGCGTTGTGCTGAGGACATTGGAAATATAAATATCCAGCAAGAGACAAACTCAGAAAGGGAAACAGTGATAATTCGGATCTCAGAAAGGAAACAAAGTGATAATTTGGATCTCAGAAAGGAAACAAAGTGATAATTCGGATCTCAGATAGGAAACAAAGTGATAATTCGGATCTCAGATAGGAAACAAAGTGATAATTCGGATCTCAGAAAGGAAACAAAGTGATAATTTGGATCTCAGAAAGGAAACAAAGTGATAATTCGGATCTCAGAAAGGAAACAAAGTGATAATTTGGATCTCAGAAAGGAAACAAAGTGATAATTTGGATCTCAGAAAGGAAACAAAGTGATAATTTGGATCTCAGAAAGGAAACAAAGTGATAATTTGGATCTCAGAAAGGAAACAAAGTGATAATTTGGATCTCAGAAAGGAAACAAAGTGATAATTTGGATCTCAGAAAGGAAACAAAGTGATAATTCGGATCTCAGAAGGAAACAAAGTGATAATTCGGATCTCAGAAGGAAACAAAGTGAGGATTCGGATCTCAGAAGGAAACAAAGTGAGGATTCGGATCCCGATCAGGAAATAACAAGTTGCTTTATACCTGAGAATTTTCTACAGTCATTGATACATTTATTGATTGTAAGGAGCCTTATCGGGACTACACAGAGTCTCCAAGCATATGAGGACCTGTCTATATGTGTAGCAGCTGAAGCAACCACTTTTTACTTATCTATAGACCGTAGACAATCATCTATATACTGGAAGAATTTAGTATCATATAACAAGTCTATTTTCCCAGCAGTCTCTGGAAGATTATAGTGGTTTTGGCTGTACATCTAATAAGGAACTACAACCCCCATCAGGAAGACTGCACTGTGCCTGCTCCTCACGTATATTGTGGGTGCCTTACCTGCTAATTAGCTGGGTGGGTGGTATAATCTTCCCTGTGACCCTGTGGTGGTCTGTGAGGGTCTTTTTGCTGCGTCGCAGAGGACTCAGTCAGGTGGCCGGTTATAAATAGACATCTACTGGCAGTGAACCCAACTGATGTTTCCTAACACGTCTCTCCCTTCACAACACACTGACCTTAAGGGAAAACTATACTTCTATCCCTGTTTTCTATTAACTGTTCTCACACTCTTCAAATTTGCTACATTGTAAGATTATCTCAAGATACTTTCAACCATTTGTTCCTCTAGTAAAAGAAAATTCCACTTTTCTTAAAAAAAAATTAAAAAAATGAATAGCTGCAACAAGCGTATTGTAATTTAATGCTGAAGTGTTAGGTACGCATTTAACACCTGTCTATGTTCCCCCCTCCCCTCCCTATACATTTTTTAATCAAATCATTTTGTTTTCATTCAATTCCCTTTTTTGAGACCCAGTGACATCATCACTGCTGGCCTATGCTCCGTAGAAAGAATGAGCTTGATAGGAAGGGTCGGCAGACTCCTGTAAATATCATAGCACTCTGCCTCGAGAGTTATATGGGAGAACACATTCTCAGTTTCCTTTCGATGTGCATTCCTGCTGGTCACTGGGTGTTGCAGACTTTAGCTGTGTAATCTGCTGATCGGTTACTTGAATGCACTCCAATAGAGCTACTGATAAGCAGACTGCACATTAAAAGTCTGCATACTTAAATACTTAAAGTCTGCATAATTGTTTGCAGCTTATTGAGTTAGGGTTAAGCTGAGGTTTCTGATTGAGGATTGAGTTAAAGTCTTCGAGTTAGAGTTAAAGAATTATGGGGTGAGTGAAATGCACTTATCCCAATAGTTAGAGCTGACGTGTGACATTGTAGCTGTCAAATGTCGGCTCTATAGGTCGAGAAATGAGCGATCACATTCAGCTGATCGCTCAGTTCCCAATCTTCCTGCGGAGAGCAGTGGCTTTCAGTCACCGCTCCCCACACGGATTCCCACCTCCCCTCTGTGTTCCTCCAACACTGATTGGAGGGAGAGATGGGGAGGGGGGCGGGCAGAGCCAGCTATCAATCAAGTACTGTATTTTTTGCTCCATAAGACGCACTTTTTTCCCCCCAAAAGGAGGGGGAAAATGTGCCTGCGTCTTATGGAGCGAATCCCGACGCCCGAGACATGCAGTTTCGGGCGCCGGGCGCGTGGTAGGAGCCACTGCTCGTTTAATACGAGTGATCTAATGAGATCACTCGTAATAAAACCGAGCAGCGGCGACGATGGAGATCACCATAGAGCAGACGAAGAACGGACTTTCTTCGTCTGCTCTGTGTGATCACTGAGACCGTGGCGCTGTAATCACAGCGCCACCTGTCTCAGCGGTCACTAACTGCAGCTTCTGTCACAGCTTCTGTCATAGAAGCTGTGACAGAAGCTACGGTCTGTCGAGTGCTCCATAAGGCGCGCCGGACCTCCCTGCGTCCTATGGTCCGGTGCGTCTTATGCACCGCAAAATACAGTATATTGTCGGGATCTATCCTGGCTGCAGTGCGGCTCTGCGATTTCAGCATATATGCTGACTTTTGGGTCACAGGAGGCCCTTAGAAAATGTCCTCCTGTGACCCTAAAGAGAACTACGCCCAAAAAAGGTTTGGCCATAGTTCTATTGAAGTTGAGGTATCTGGGTTAGGGCTGAGTTGAGGTATCCGGTTTAGGTATAAGTTGAAGTTCTGAGTTAGGGTTGAGTTGAGGTATCTGGGTTAAGGCTGAGTTGAGGTTTCTGAGTTGGGGTTGAGTTGAGGTTCTTAGTTAGGGCTGAGTTGAGGTATCTGAGTTAGGGCTAATGTGAGGTATCTGGGTTAGGGTTCAGTTGAGGTTTCTGAGTTAGGGTTAAGTTGAGTTTCTGAGTTAGGGTTGAGTTGAGGTATCTGGGTTAGGGTTAAGTTGAATTTCTGAGTTAGGGTTAAGTTGAGGTTTCTGAGTTAGGGTTGAGTTGAGGTATCTGGGTTAGGGTTGAGTTGAAGTATCTGGGTTAGGGTTAAGTTGAGGTTCTGAGTTAGGGTTAAGTTGTGGTTTCTGAGTTAGGGTTGAGTTGAGGTATCTGGGTTAGAGCTGAGCTGAGGTTTCTGAGTTAGAGTTGAGTTGAGGTATCTGGGTTAGGGTTGAGTTGAGGTATCTGGGTTAGGGTTGAGTTGAAGTATCTGGGTTAGGGTTAAGTTGAGGTTCTGAGTTAGGGTTAAGTTGAGGTTCTGTGTTAGGGTTGAGTTGAGGTTTCTGAGTTAGGGTTGAGTTGAGGTATCTGGGTTAGGGCTGAGTTGAGGTATCTGGGTTAATGCTAAGTTGAGGTTTCTGAGTTGGGGGATGAGCTGAGGTTTCTGAGTTAGGATTGAGTTGAGTTTCCTGGAGTTATGGTTTTGAAGTGTGTTGAGCACTCAGTTTTGACATATGAAAAAAACAAAGTTAAGGTTTTCATTTTTCTGGGTTTATTTTTGGAAGAGTAAACATCTCTATAAGCTATATATTTATTGTGGCTTCTACTTCCGGGATTCAAGAAGTTTTGGGTCTGCAGTCTATCGCACCCAAGGACTATGAACATAACCCTCATAGCTGTGCCAATAAATGTCACAGAGGTTCTCAATGGAACACCTGCAATCGACTCACAAGAGGTCACCGATAGTTCTAGGAACTTGTTAGATTCTCAGAAGTGGCATGGGACTATGATCCTGACTGGTTCTTCCAAGCACAGGCTGATTCCATCTATGATAGTGAAGTGTGCAGGAAAGATGAAATGCCACCTGGACGAGTGAACATAGCAACAACACCCAGCATCAGTGGTTATTTCAAATCAGAAAAGACGACTGGAATAGAACAGCAAATGCTGCCACAAATGATGACAACCCCCTCTAAACTTAATGGCCTACTTTCAGCATTTGCTAGGGTGGGCAAACACTTGGAGGAATGATACCTCCGTGACTAACACCCACCCTAGTAACTTCCCATACATCATAGGGAGTAACATGTGCTGTGGAGAATACAGCTCTTCTTGGATTCCCCCTGTAGAGGGCGGGTCCTACTAATTGCCCAAACTGGTCCCTGTGATGGATGTGGCTGGGGGTGACTCAGCATGGAGCACAAGTCTCCAAACTCCAGAGTCAGGTTGGAGTATCGCAGATGATGGCTGGAATTACCTTCCAAGGTTTAGGGTTAGGAAGCTAGTTTTCTGATATGTTTTCCTAATAAAAAACACAAAAGATAAAGCGCACTCCTGTAGGGCAGACAGGCTTCAAACAAGTGGCTGTTATGTAAAGGTGTGCAGATCTCCTTGTTACAGGGAGAGGACCCTGTCTATTAGAAACCACGAAAACAAACAAAAGATCAGGAGCGCAACTACCAAAATTCCTTGTGTGAGTAGGTAAGTGTGATCCGGCGAAGGGACCAGTGGACATGTAGATGAGGACAGCGTCAGGCGCACTAATAGATCTTTACAGTGTGGGGTATAGGTATCTATGGCAATGTCACAGTAGTAGAAAAGGGGGACTTACAATTAGGAGCTCCCCTGTTGTCTGTGCGATCGTCTCCTTGGATCGATCCTGGTGTCTCCGATGGTGTGGGAGGCTGGTCTGGAATGGATGTGCTTCAGTTTGACCGGCCACAAACTCGACTGGCCGGGCCGAGCCGTGTCCGTCAGGAGCAGACAGCAAGGGGGGAGGAGCTACGTGCGGCTAAGTGACCCCGTGCGCCGCGTGTCAGTGCTGGCAGTCGGGCTATGGTCATAGGGGTAGAGAAGTATCGGGTGTCTCCAGTGGCTACGCGTTTCGAGGGATTGCCTCTTTATCAAGCCTCAAGATACTGGAGACCGCGGGAGATCTGTCTTCTTTTTAAATATAGCAAGGGGGGAGGCGTGTGATTTCGTAGAGCCCAGTGATAGGCTGCCGCTCACGTGGGAGGAGTGAATTAGCAGTCTGGGTTCGTCTTGATTGTGAACTGTCAGTGCTCTAGTCGATGGAGATCTATAACCTTTAGTAACCCTTCGGTCTTGTCAGGGGCTGGCCTTTAATTGGAGACGATCTATACTATGCGTATAAACACAGAATAGATCGTCTCCAATTAAAGGCCAGCCCCTGACAAGACCGAAGGGTTACTAAAGGTTATAGATCTCCATCGACTAGAGCACTGACAGTTCACAATCAAGACGAACCCAGACTGCTAATTCACTCCTCCCACGTGAGCGGCAGCCTATCACTGGGCTCTACGAAATCACACGCCTCCCCCCTTGCTATATTTAAAAAGAAGACAGATCTCCCGCGGTCTCCAGTATCTTGAGGCTTGATAAAGAGGCAATCCCTCGAAACGCGTAGCCACTGGAGACACCCGATACTTCTCTACCCCTATGACCATAGCCCGACTGCCAGCACTGACACGCGGCGCACGGGGTCACTTAGCCGCACGTAGCTCCTCCCCCCTTGCTGTCTGCTCCTGACGGACACGGCTCGGCCCGGCCAGTCGAGTTTGTGGGCGGTCAAACTGAAGCACATCCATTCCAGACCAGCCTCCCACACCATCGGAGACACCAGGATCGATCCAAGGAGACGATCGCACAGACAACAGGGGAGCTCCTAATTGTAAGTCCCCCTTTTCTACTACTGTGACATTGCCATAGATACCTATACCCCACACTGTAAAGATCTATTAGTGCGCCTGACGCTGTCCTCATCTACATGTCCACTGGTCCCTTCGCCGGATCACACTTACCTACTCACACAAGGAATTTTGGTAGTTGCGCTCCTGATCTTTTGTTTGTTTTCGTGATATGTTTTCCTGGTTTAACATGATAGCAATGCTTCTCCTTACTGGATTATTATTGACGTGGTCAGAAGGACATGCATCTCAAAGGGGAAACCAGGCAACTGATCGCCGATAATAAGGACTATGAACTAGGGCTGGTAATGATCAAAATTTTCGTGTTCGATTAATCAAAATTTTTTAAAATCGATTAATCGATTAATTTTGATGAATTATAACGCACATACAGATCCAACTACATTGGCCTATACACATACAGCACAGCAATGAAGTCATAAAATGAACTAGGATCACACTAATCCAGCACGTTATTCATCTCACGTGCCCCACTCAATATGGCCGCCGCTTGAGTGGGGCACGCGAGATTAATAACGTGCTGGATTAGTGTGATCCGAGTTCATTTTATGACTTTATTGCTGTGCTGTATGTGTATAGGCCAATGCCTTGGCTGGCGCTCGTGCAGAAAGTTGTAAAACAAATTTAATCGATCAAAAAGATTAACGATTAATCGAGAAATGAATCGTTAATTTGCACAGCCCTACTATGAACGTCTGCTTCAAGAAGAGATTGAAGACCACATCCCCATGGATATCAGG